CATGGTGCATTCTGAACGCCTGCGTACGTCTTCTCTCGGCATCTACAACACCGTTCATGCTTGCGTCAACTTACTTTTGCTTCCCTTCAGTTCGGAATCAGCGAAGAAGTCCGCGTCAGCAGGCCCCCGCACTCCTCCACCCCAAGAGAGAGAAACTTCATACGCGATTTGCAGCAGACTCTGGTGGCTCCGGGTCAGGCCACTCGAAGGCCGCAGTCGTCAGCTAACGGGGATGCTGTGAGCATGCGAGCCAAGGCGTTCTGTGCGTCCTGTCGGAAGAACCAGATGGTAGCTCAGGCTGGGTTCGAATGCACTCCATGTCGGAGATGTAGCGAGCAGGCTGGAAGGATGGTCTGGTATTGTATTCGGTGAGTCTATTTCGGTCGTGCGTCCTTTCCGTTCTCTTTGCAGCTGCGTTCGAGAATGGGCGACACTGCGGGCAGACTCATGTAGTTAGCCCGAGCCCCTAGACCTTCTTCAGTTTCATTTCAGTGGCCCTCCGCGAATTCTGAGGCGCCCATCTTAGTCTCCCGCGAAGCCTAGAGTTTGAACTGACACAAAGCTTCCCTTCTTTTGCTCAGGGACTGCCAGATGGAGGATTGGAGAGCGGGACATAAGAAGCACTGGGGCAGCCTCTGATAGGCACAGGCACAGGGAAACGTGTTCTCGAGGTTGACACGCCAGTGCCTCGCCGGATGCCAGCGCCTCCGGGCCCGTGGGCAGGAGGGAAGAGGCCAAGGCTGCGAAGCACGATCGCGGAAGAGTAGATTCTCGAGACTCGCTCTGCTGGGCTCTAGCTCAAGATCTTCGGTGCAAGTGCTAGTGCCAAAGATCTCGGCCCAGCTGTGGGTTCTGTACAATCTATTCTAGAGTGTAAGGGGCAGCTTATTAGGGAGTCCCCCCTGACCCCAGAAATTTCCTGTCCGCTCCGCTGTGATCGAGAAATGACAATTGATTTCAGCTAATCCTTTTACGTCTCTCGATCATCTGGATTATCAGGCTTCGTTGTCGAGGAAACACAGCCATCTGAGCAGTTCCTTCCTCCCCTCACACGACCCAAGCACTGCCAGATTGGCAGATCTGCTCGGGAACAGCACTTGGTTCCGGCTAATTGATTGTTCTTGATCTAAAACTAGACTGGCGCCAGGCTCAAGCATGGGCCAATTTGGCGCCACTGGAGTTCCTGTACAAGTGATGGAGCTCTGCGTTCCCAACGACGTCCATACCTTTTTGTCAACTGGGGCCGAAAATCTACTTCTAATCAGGTCCCGACAGATCCCGCGGATGTCAATGGGATGCATATAAACCAGCCTGTTCTGAACCTCCCCACTCCCTCCTTTCCGTGCCCTCACCCCGCGACTCCCTTCCTCAGCCCAGCTCTCCGTCCAGCCCTCTCCCTCCCGCCGCTGTCCGCAACAACCTTCGTGCTTCCTACCACCTCAGTCCTCCTCCTCACATAAACTCCTCGCATTTCCGCGACCCTCTCGAGAACACAGAGTACCACTACACCGTGGTGCCAAAGCCAGCTCCTCCCTACCAATGGTCGCGCGACCTAATGCGCCAGATCGCTCACATTGAGGGTGACAGTATGTACTCCTGTTACTGGGTGAGTGCCGCCACGTTTGGACCACGTTGCGTTTCGGATGGCCTAGCTGACACGCCACCCTAGATTTTTCCGGAATTTGAGAATGGCTCCCCCGTTTTTATCGACGGTTTCTCAGGTGAGCCCCGTGCTGGTGCTATGGTTCCCAGAGTCCAGGTCCACTGACGAAACTCTGTAATTATAGACCATATGCGCTTCCTGATTCTGCGGCATCGAGGTTCGTCCGGCATACTGTGTGAGAGAGTTCGTTTGCTGACTTGTCCTTTCTTAGCCATGTCCTCCGGCGATGCAGCGAGCGTCGCTGGCATGTTCAAGCTCCTGTTGCCCTACGCGACGTCCCATCGCTATAGCGAAACCCAGCTGTGCTCCCAGCTCTCTAGAGAATACGGCATCAAGCTCGATCGAGCTGTATTGAATGCGCTCCCAGACCCGTCAAACTTTACAGACTACGAGAAGGAGATGGCGATGGTGTTCACACGGTAATACAAGTTTGCTCAGTTGAAGACGAGTGGGAAAATGATGACCTTACGACCAATAACCGGTGCGCATTCCAGAGGAATTCCGGTATCACGATGAGTGCCAGTGATGAGCGGCACGCGGTTACGAACTTTATGTCTGCTTCGGTGTATGTATGTGTATGTGTATCAACCTTCCTGTTCGACAGATTAGATAGATTAGATGTATTAGGGTTATTCCTTTCGGGTTATGCGTTGTAATTATCATTGGGCTTTGTTACGAGAGTGTATGTATCACTTGATGAGCGTTTAGGGTAGCGCAGCCGGGAATCTTTCAGGGCACCGGCCGCCGACTGGCCTCTGTTAGCGAAATAGGTGTTAGCGTGAGGACGAACTATTTCCAGCCCGCAATCTGACGCATAGACTTCAGACACCTGATGCATATGGATAAGTGAGCGTACTGGCGGCGCAGGTCATTCTACTCAGGCTGCGAGCAGACTACAGACTACAGTTCACTGAGTAGGAAGTTGATTTGGGGACAGGATGTCGACCGGCCGGTACCATGTCAATAAGTATCCAGAGACGGAAGCAAGACGCAGAGGAGCCTTCCTGCTGGCTTTCCAACTGCGATGAAAACTGATTATGTTAGGGTCAGTAAAACGACCGTCAGTGAAGCGATGCTCCCTTCAGCGCCCACTCTAAAACTCTCTGTTTAGAGAGGATTATTTGCCGGTTCGAGTCCTGCCGTCTTGTGTGTTCTCGCCATTGTGTAATCTACTGTTTGGGGTTTCTCGCTCGGTTTCTTGGGTGAATAAGCCTCGTTTGTGGTGTTGGAGTCGAGTGGCTGCAAAAATCCGTCCCTCTTTCGCTGAAGTATCGCAAAAAGAGCCTCCCCAGGGTTAAAAAATGGTCACCCCAGGGTTAAAAAATGGTCAGAAAAACGCCGTACGACGTCAGCAGGACTCGAACCTGCGCCCTCGAAGAGGAACAGATTTCTAATCTGTCGCAGTAACCACTTTGCTATGACGCCTTGATAACTCAACAAAAATACTTTGCTATGAAGCCTCGGTAACTCAAGAAAAATACGTTGCTATGAAGCCTCGGTAACTCAAGAAAAAATTGGAATTTGTTCACCAAAAATGCGCTGGGAAGAGAGTGGTCAGTGATAATGCTTAGTCAGTGACTTTCTCTTACTGACTGACATCACAATCGATGGTCACACCGGCTGAAGTGGATATGCCAGCCTCGACTCTCGAGCTCTGTCGAAGCGGAGTCCACTGCGCGAGCGCCGACTCGGAGGATGCAGGTCTTGCTCTGGATGACGCTGTTATTATCGATACCCCAGGAAATTACCTCATATGTATCGTTGGATTGGATGTCTCTTACCCTTACACTATGGAGGTGAACGTTGCGGAGGAGACGCTCGAGCTCGGTTATTCAATCTTGATGGTTCAAATCATCCCTGGGCACACCTCCGTCATGAATGGGATTTTGCGCGACTGAGGAGAATGACAAGCGGCCAGCATGACCTACATGGAGGCACAGTGCATCCGTGAAGACCTTGATATACATTGGAGCTCAGTTAATTTATGTTCAGACCGACGTCGCAACGCTTACACCAACGCACGCCAGCCAATGCCAAAGCGACAGTGCTCCTCAGATTAATAAATGACGTCTCGAGGCAACTCTACAGACGTCAAAAACCTAAACGTATTATCCGGATCCACCTCCTTCTTGATCTGTTGCAGGCGTGGGTAATGGTCGCTGTAGTAGCGCGTTTGCCCTAGGAAAAAATGGTCAGATCTGGGCTAGGCTAGGCTAGAACGCATGGAGTCAAGACTGGAATAACATCAAGCAGACGACCAGAATAACTCGAAGCAGAAACTCGAAGGAAAGACTAGAATGTCATCAAGGAAAAGACTAGAATAACTCGAAGCAAAGATGCAAGAGGGACAGTAATCCCGTGCCCGAAACTCAATCGACGTGGGGACGGGAGAATAAGTCGATGGAAGTAGGCACAGAACGATCACGCGCAGCAAGATGCCGAAAGAAGGGTACTCAAGTTGGTGAAAGTAGGGTACTCACAATCCTCCAGCTGATCCTCGACATAGTTCGTATACGCGCTGTACTCAACCATCCAGAATTAACATTACAATAATGAGTTAACAAGGAAGAAACGCACCCAAACACCGTCCCCTCGGGACTATTGTCCGTTATACTATCCGCCATACCTACATTCACCCGCTCAGTCAAATCATCCAAAAAACCAAGTTTAACTCAAACGTACCATTAAACAAATCCACCCCCGCATCCGGATACGGCACCCCCTGCCCCGGCGACGACACATACAGCTGAATCGTAAACAACGCATCCCTCCACGCAAACGCCGTCGCGTTCCCCGGCACATCAGCGATCGCGGAGTTCGGGCCGCCGTAGAGCTCGACTTGGAGGAACCAGAACTACAATTCCCCAACACACAGTTCAGCCAACGGTTAAAGGAAGGGGGGGGAAGCAAGAGACGTACCGAGCCCCATTCCTTCCCCTCATTCGCCAAGTACCTCGCAAACGCCAAAGCACTCTCATTCGTGAACCCCCCGCTCTCTTGCGTAAGTATCAGACTCTTCGCGTAGAACACATCCGTCCCGCCAGGTGCAGAGGTATCCAAGCTCCCCCCCGCAAGATTCTCCACACTCTCGATCCAGCTGCCCCCACCAACGCTCTCGTCTCTCCTCGGCGGCAAGTCCTCAAGGAAGGGAGCTATGACAGAGTCAAGCTCGTCCGGGGGTCCGTACCATCCCCCGCTAAGGGAGAGGTTAATCTCGCCGACTACAGGGCCGGGGGTAAGAACGATCTGGCACGAAAACTCGCCTAGGATGGGGAGGGTACGGATACGGGATTGAAGGTGCAGAATAGCGGTGGCGGCGTAGGTCGTGTTGAAGGTCCAGGCGTAGCTGAATATGAGGCCTGACGAGGGGACGGGGAAGGTTTGGATGGTGTATGAGGTTATGAGGCCAAAGGAGGGGGCTGCGCCTCTGAGGGCCTGCATAACTTTGAGATCAGAACCTAGAGAAGGGACTCAGGGAGGGGAGGGGGACGTACCCAGAATAAATCAGGATGTTGCGTCTCCGAAGCGGTGGTGATCGTTCCATTCGCCAAGACAGCCTCAACTGAAAGAATCGTATCGATCGTCAGCCCCCACATCCGCGACGCGAAGCCGTACCCCGCGAACGCTACATAGGTCCACCCCATCCGCACACTTCATCCTCCCCTAAGTACAAGTGGAAGACAACACACCAGCATGTCCCCCAATCCCGACATACGCACACGACCCATGCGGAATCCCCCTCCCATGCTCATTAAGCTTGACAGCCACAGGCCCCAGCCTGTTCCCCGGTCCGATAACAGCGATGTGGGTGGACTCGTTGTAAGTGATGGTGTTGAGGTGGCTGAGGTCGATGACGAGGTTTTCGTGGCTTTGTGAGCCGAGGCCGGCGGCGATGTAGCTGTGCTAGTTACGCAGCGTCAGAGGAGAAAGAAGGGAGGAGGGAGAGATGAGAGAAGACGTACTCCTCCAGAACGCGCGGTCACTGGTATACCTGCCCTATGCCCAATCTTGACGATTTCGCTGACTTGGAGAGCGGTGGTGGGGTATGCAACCGCTACGGGTTCGGGTGTGAACCGGAGGTTGACTGCGAACCAGTTAAATATGTGGATGTAACAGTTCGGAGATAGACTCACAAGGTTGACTAGCATTCAGATACCCGTCCTGGCCAGGGAAGTAGGCCTTGATCCCCGCTTCCGTCAGGTCGTCTTGAACTTTGCCTCCGTCCTGAGCATATACTGTGCTCGAGAGTAGCGCTGCAAGCAGCAAAGTCGCCGTAGATCGAAAGTGCGACCGCATCTTGGTGTTCGTGGGAATTCGAGACAAAGATGGTGTCCCTTTATGAACGACGCAGAACTTGGTCCGGTGGTCCGGTGGTCAAGCTTCGAACTCGCTTTGTGCGCGGTCAGCTGGTGGAGCCGATATACATTTCGACAGGGGAGCAATGCATGACCGTGCCGATGATCTTGCTCAGGCGTGGAGATCGGTCTCGTTATTGTCGTTAACGAGTTGGTGTGCTTGTGAGCATTTCGGCTTTGAGATTTGGGTAGAGCTGGTGGTATTTGTTGCTGCTAAGGGCTGGAGAAGATGAATGCACTTGGCGCTGGGGAAGTAGGAGGTGAGAATAAGATGCAGCTGGCCGTGGCGAAGTCGATTGGCGTTACTGTGCTCCACCGCGTCCATGCGATTATTCGTATTCCCCAGGGCCGAGATGGCTCAGTTTTGTCCCTTGTGTCAATTATGTACGACAAGAAACGGCATGACTCCGTTACTTTATAAACAGATATGGTAGTCTGGTTGGACGCGTACGGAGGGTTTCCCATAAAGCTTGTCTCCTGCGATCGAATGAGCACCAGATTTGCCTCGTTGGGTGTCCAAAGGAAAGGTAAATAAGTTTGACGGTACTTATTCTTGGCCGGACATCTAACAAGTATCCCTGTGTCAGTAAGGTGGATAAGAATGGAGCCTGTGCCTGGTGCTGGTATCCGGGCCCGACATCGACCTCCGAACCTTGACACTGTGCAAGAGATCATTGAACGCGTTCATCGACATGCGACGCGTTCTTCCTGTCGCGCGTTGAAGATCGGAGCTTAGTATCCTGTATGAGTGTCAATGGTAGCTGTAGGCTATGCTCGCCGCCGCGCTGTCGACCGACAGCGAGGGGATCGATGCTAGTCGAGAGTAAACTGCAATACTAGTAATCCGTAAGAAATATCGCACATCAGAAACACTAGTTCTCGACTTACAAGTGACCGAAGCTAGGACCTTCCTACATCTGAGCCTTGGGCAGTTGATAGGAGGTAGGGGCCGCTAGCTGGAAACGAACACGCTCCGAATCGGTGCCATTCACATGCATGGAGATTGGGAAACCTCTTCGAAATCATTATAGCGGTATGTCTCCGCCTCCTGGTAAGACACCTGGACACTGTGGACGGCATTACATCGACCTAAGCCACAGCAGTACTTCATTATTGAGCCGCAGCGTCGCCGTCAATCGTCACCGAGGTGACACGATCCAGACTGGCAGAGGATCCGACTCCCCGCACTTATTTATAGTAATCCCCTGCTGTAGCAACACCGTAGACGCCTGTGAGATGCGCATATCAGAGGTCAGTTTATCCGTGGCACTCACAGAGCTAACATCACCGACGGTCGCCTGAGAACATCGATCCGCTCATTCGCTGAGAATTGCTAAGTTTAAGATGGACGAACGCGTACCTTGATTGATAAATTGTACCGTCAAGGCGGGATTGAAGGTAAAAGTCAGTAGAGAGCAACGTCAATCGCGTTCGTGCCTCGGAACATTGGTCGTTATCACCTTGACAAGTTAAACCGACCGCGGTGCATTGACCTCGGGCTCTTTAATCACAGTGAAATAAGTAGGGCGACACGGAGAAGTGCGCAATGAAGATATCTTGGTGAGAGCTTGTGTTGACCTCCGAGTCGTCTGGGCCAAGTCTGACCAGGTAGCCACAGACCGAAACACCGGCGACCACAATTTGAAGAGATGAAGATCCAGGAGAATCACCACTGCACTTAGCGCTGAGCGCTGAGGTCGGCGCCGATACTTATTATCAAACTGCCTTGTACTAGTCCTCATACGGAGCGCGCCCTCGCGCGAATATTCCGCGTAAACAGACCAGCTCAACGGCGAAGACGGAGGCCGGTAGGGCAAGTCTGGCAAGTTCTCTTCAAGGAACGAGAGGAACAAGGCCACCCAATTGAATTCACTGTTGAGAGGGGCGCTGACGGGAACACGGCAGAGTGATGATCGACGCGATCCCATGACCATTTGTCCCAAAGCAGCGCGTAATGGCGGCCAATTGAATTGTTTCCACGTGGTTTCTTTGCCCTTGGTTCAAAAGTCGTTCCTTGGTCGAATCTCTTTTCTCTCTTACCACCACCGGTCCTCCTCCATCCCTATCCAT